CCCAGAACAAGGGCACCACTTTGGAGAATCTCTCCCCCACCAGCAGGGGGAGAGAATCAAGGTCAGTGCGTCTGGGCTGTGGGGGTGGGGGGCATTCCAGGATTAGCTATACCATCTTTCTCTTACCCTAGCCCTGTATCCATCCCAGCCTGCTGACCCAGGAGTCTTCTATTTGCAAGAGAAAACTCATCTGAAATTGGCCTACTAAAAAAAAACAAAAAAAAAAATCCAAGGATAACAGCTTCAGGTACAGCTGGCTCCAGGGTCTCAAAACTATATCATTGAGAATCTGTCTTTCCATTACGTCTCTCAGCTCTGCTTCCCACTCTGTTGGCTTCACTTCCAAGCAGACCGTCGCAAATTGGCAGATATGTCAACCAGCTAACATTCTATTGGTTTAGACAATGAATGGAAAGAGAATGCCTCTTTTTCCCCAGTTTCAGCAAAATACTAGGGCAAGTGCTCACTGGCTCTGTTTGGCCCAGCTTGGGTTATTAGTCCACCCTTGGACCAATCTCTCTGGCTCAGGAGATGCTGTGCTCTAGGCTAAAATGTGTCACATGCCACCATTGGGGCTAATGAATAGGATCTTCCCACGTACACTAAACTCAGGGCCTATCTGGGTCTCTGAAGGAAAAGCCAGGGGCCTGATATCAGGAGGAGTGGGGGCTGGGAAGGAAAAATACAGATGTCAGTTTTACCAGTAATCTCAGGAGAAAGTCTAACATTAAGTTCATTTTAAGTCACTGTTATTTAAAAATATACCACAGTATCTACCCAAATGCACTGCAAATTCACATCAATGCAAAAACTTGCTCATGGATTTTATAGCAGCTTTTTATTCATAATTGCCAAAATGTGGACGTTACCAAGATGTCCTTCAGTAGATGAATGTTTAAATAAACTGTACATCTGCACAATGGAATATTACTCAGTGCTAAAAGGCAATGGGCTATCAAGCCATGAAAAGACATGGAGGAAAATTTTGCATATTACTGAGTGAAATAAGCCAGTCTGAAAAAGCTACAGGCCATATGACTCCAACTATATGATATTCTATGAAATTTTCATAGAAAATTTAATGACAATTTTCATTAACGTCAAAATTATGGAGACAGTAAACAGATGAGTGGTTATCAGGGGTTGGGATAGAAAACAAGAAATAGGTGGAGCAGAGAGGATTTTTAGGGCAGTGAAACTATTCTGTGTGATACTACAATAGTGGGCACATATGATACATTTGTGAAAACTCACTGAGTTCATACACTGCCATGTATTAAGAGAACCTTAATATAAACTATGTACTCTGGGTAGGAATGATGTGGTTCATTGTAGTTCACTGATTGTAACATATATGCCATTCTGGTGGGGTATGTTGATAGTGGGGGAGGTTGCACTTATGCAAAGTACAGAGAGTCCCCGTATACCCCTCGTGTGTGTGTATACATATATACACACATCTCCCACAGGACAGGACAATTTTAGGTAAAGGGAAATCAAGATATGGTAGAACATTGAGACTTCACAGCTTTTTTGCCCATCTTAACACACTTGTGAGATGCAATTTTCCAGCGGGAAACCCTTCCGTGCAGTTGTTTATGAACCAGTTGTAATTCTATTACTTCATCACTCCCTTATTCTGTCACTCCAGAAATCACAGCAAAATGCTACTCACTGAGGATAATGCTACAATGATAGCTACTAAAATCACTGATCACTTACCCTGTACCATTTATTCTGTTATTTATCCCTCAACTGGTTATCAGACACCTCCTACGTCAGCTCCTCAGCTCAGTGCTGGAGATACAAAAATGACATGGTCCTTTTCCTTAGGAGCATGGGATTAATGGAGCAGATGCAGAGGTCCAGGAGGGGTGAAGAAAGGTTTGCTGCGTTCTGCCTTACCAGCAGAGGGGTCTTCTTTCTCCTGGGGGTGGGAGTCTGCTTCTGTTCAGAGGCCATGATTTCAGAGCCATAGCCAAAGCCTTAACACTGAAGCCAGCAACAGCTTCAAGGACAGAGCACCCTTTGTCTCCAACACAGAGCCCACTTCAGCTCTGGACAAACAGCTTGGCAGCCACACGCAGACCTAGCTTCTGGCTTGCCTGCCGCAGGGCATCCGTGACCTCATTTCACACCCAAACTTGCCTGGGAGCCAGGGTGGGGTCAGAGCAAATATCAGTGTCCCCAAGAATAGGTAGGGATGTTCCCAGGGGGAAGGGTGCCTGTGTCTACTGATATACCGCAGTGCACTTAGGGAAACAGAAGAGCAACAATAATAACGGCAGCTGGTAGCTGTCAGCCCTGACTGTAGGCTAGGTACCATGCCAGGCATTTGCCATGGCTAATCTTCCTTACCTTCTAATAGAACCTTCATGGGATGAGTATTATTATAACCCTTTTTTTGGCTGATTGGGCAACTGAGGCTCTGGGTAGTTAAGAAACTTGTTTAGTTAAGAGTCAACGTTGGGTTTCAAACACAGATCTGTTTCCAAAACTGGAGCTAAGGCCTGAGCAGATTCTAGCAGTTTCCTGCTTAACTTGATCTATGTGGACAGTGAGATTAAATAATTTAAGTACAGCCTTTCACTCTAAAATACAAATGATCTTTAAATCGATGGCTGTTTATGTCATGTCAGCTATGAGCAGAGGTGGAAAAAGGTTGTGTCCCACAGAGACTTGGTCTCTGTATCAGGGGAACCACAGACAGTGAAGGGAAGGGGCTGGCAGGTGGTGGGGCAAGGGGCTTGAGACTGGGTGGCCTTGAGCAAGTAACTTACCCTTCTGAGTCTTCTCTGTAAATTGGAGATAATAAGAGTGCCACGTCATCCGGTTGTTGGTTGGACTAAAGGAAATTTTGCTTGTGGAGCACCCAGGACACTAATAGGCTCAAAATGATTGTTTCACAGCTATTTATCAATGACCTAGAACATACGTGTCCGGCTCTGTCCTAGATGCTGGGACATGAGTCCTGCCCCCAAAGCAGTTCAGTGTCTAGGGGAGGAAGAGACAATCATGAGACCAAGTGGGCAATCCAGGGACGGGGGAAGCGCTGGGGCTGGGGTCACACACTGGAGGTCACCCAGCCAGACTTAGCAGGGCATCAAGGAAGCCTTTCTAGAAAAGATACAGTCAAATGAAAGCCTGAGCCATGAGAAGGAGTAATTAGGTAAAGAACGGAGGGAAGAGGTTTCCAGGTAGTGAGAATGTTCTGAGGCCTGTAGACAAAGGAGGAAGCAGGGATATTCCAGGAGGAATGGCTGGAGTCAAGAGGGGGAAGTGCCTAGAGCTGAGACCGCAGGGGTGAGCAGGCCATGATGAGCCTTGAAACCATATTAACGTGATTTGAACTTGACACTTGGCCCAGGCAAAGGAACATGTCCTAACTGGGAACCTAACAGGAGCCCAGCATGGCTTGAAGCAGGGTGGAATACAGAAGACAGGACCCTGTCCTTTGGGTGATTTTCAACAAGCCTCCACTCTTCTTTGGGTCTCAATTCCCCCATCTGCAAAATGGGCTACCCCAAAAGTTTCCCATACTAAAACCAACTACATGTCACCTTTTTTATTTTTAGCATATACATGTACTCCTGGTACTCTTACTTTTAACAAGCTCACTTTTTATATAAGGAGACTATATATAAGAACTACAGGTACCATCTTAAATAGAAGGCACCTGAAAAAATGCATATCATTACAATAGTGTATCTAATTCTAGTTAGTTATAGCTGCCTGCGCAGAGCTCTGAGCCCCAGGCCTGCTCTCTCTCTTTGGGGCGATGGTTAACAGCCACTGGTACCCAACCTGGGCTTTCTTGCTACTGTAATCAGGACTGAAAAAGATTTAAAAGGGAACAAATCTTTCACCATCTGAGATGATGTTTTTACTATTAGGTTCATGTCCAATGTCCTAAAGCACTCTCAAGTGTGCCCCCTGTGGTATGAATCCCACTCTCTCTCGACCCCTCTAACATCTGTGGCCTGGGAAGCCTTTCCAGAAGTGGTAAGATGGGAAAGGTAGGAAAGGGGTTCTGAGAGCACCATAGCCTAGGCAAAGGGAGAGAGGTATCAGCTGGAAACACCCCCAGACAGCAGGAAGGCCAATGCTAATAGACATTCTCCTCCAACCCCGTAGAGGATTCCAGTCGCCATGTCTGGAGTGTGCCGAGGCAAAGAAGTCCAGTTTGGGCCCATCCACAGCCCGGAGCTCCCCAAGAGGGTACTCCCGGAGTTCCTCCTATGCCAGCACCCGCTCTTCCAGTCACTCCTCCCGATCCCCCAACCCTAGGACCTCCCCCAGGTATACCCGGAGCCGATCCACTTCCTCCGGAAAAAGGTGAGTATCGTTTTGACCTTTGCTCCGTCACCGTCTCCTCCTTAGGGAGCTAGTTGGGGTAGCTAGAGAGGTCATTGGCCCATGGTGGAGTCAGAAAGACTTTGAGTTTGAATGCCCATTCTATCCATTACTACTAGCTGGTGAACTTGGGTCTGTTAACCTTAGGAGAGAAAATGAAGTCAAGAAAAAGGTTGTGTCCCACAGGCACATGCTACTATTCTGTATAGTTGTTATGAAGGTAGGCTGCAAATGTGACTCTGAGCTCCCTGGCAGAAAAAGCAAAAAGGGAAATTGCTCTATTGTTACTTTATTAACAAAAAAATAAAAGAATTGAACTTGGAATTCCAATTCGAATTACTTGGACAAGCAGTTATTTCTGATTTTTAGGTAAGAAAAATGACTCATATTGCTCCACAGAAAAGGGACACTATGTGATGTGGTAGATAGAAATGCCTGACATCCCTTTAAAATATCCAAAAGCATGTTTCATCTTGACTCTTTTGCATAATGTTTCTCAATGCACCGCCAAAGATTAAGTTGGCAAAAGCAACTTTTCCATAGCTGGACGCTCTCCCAGAGCACTGTTTGGAGGAGCTTTTCCTTGTTTACACTCCTTACACCACTGTGAGCAGCACGTAAAAAAGGAGTCCCAGGGCAATATGTAACGGGCATGGTTATTATGATCACCTAAGAAGGCACGAAAGGACAAAGGAACATCATAACAAGTCATAAGAAGGCTTTTCAAATAAAAAGAAGGAAAACTTTAGTGTTTCCTTGAGAGAAAGCTGGCAAAGGTAAAGCATGAGAGAGTGTACCCACTACCCATTCTTGTGCCCATAGTAGACATTGCTAATCCATCACAGCACTCTTTCCCACTGAACATATATATATAACCCCTCCCGACCCTGGCAGTCACTGCTAGATGATCATAATCAGAATATATGAGATGAAAATTATTTGAAAACCTGACTTTAGGGATGTAAGAATGAAGACATATGTTCCTGGAAAACTGGTAAAAAAAAAAAGGCAATATAATTCTCTAAAAGTAGGAGGCATTAGCAGAGTGAAGAAGGGAAGGGGTAATTGTTTGCACAACAATGTAGTCTAGCAAAAGTCAAGAGCACTCTGTAGCCAAACAGACGTGGGTCTCAGCAGGCTCCTCGGGGGCTGCTTCCCCTCCTCCAGGTCCTACTCGCGCTCTCCCAGCTATTCCTCCAAGTCTGACAAGAGGAGCCCGCCTAGCAGAAGCTCGCGTTCCCGCCGCAGCCCCAGCTACTCGCGTTACAGCCCGAGCAGGTACCCGCCCCGCCCCCAAGCCCTGGCCCCACCCATCTGCCAGGCCTTCTGCACCTCCGCCTCTCTAGCCCCGCCCCCAGGCGCTTCTCAGTGGGTGGCGCGCCCAATTCCGCCCGTGTAAGTAGGGAGAGATGACTCCGCATTCCTGTCATTACCTTTGTCTTACCTGGAGTGGCAGTGAGGCCCCACGTCTATCCTAGTGTCCTAAGGTACCCACCCCAACAAATGTAGGCCACGCCCCACAATTCACATCTCAGCCTTCATCCCCAGTCAGAGCCCCCAGTTCTTTCTTACGCCCCGGGCCCACCTGACGCTCCCATCCGCACCTCTGTAATGCCCACCGTCCAAGGCTAACACCCCTGCACGCCCGGCCCCACCGCACACTGCTCGCCACGCAGACTCCACTCCATCCTCCTGCCCTCCCCGGGCCCCGGGTCGACCCACGAGCCTGTCCCAGGTGGGGGGGCGGAGGCGGGCACAGGGAAGGCGAGGAAGTGAGTGCCCCTCCCCCGCACGCCCCCCAGGGAAAAGCCCGGCTGGGCCCAGATCCCCGTTAATTCACCGCACCTCTTCAGGGAGCGAGACCCCAAATTCGGTGAGAAGGACTCGCAGCAGCGGGAGCGCGAGCGAGCGCGCCGGAGACGCCGGTCCTACTCGCCCATGCGGAAGCGCCGGAGAGACTCGCCGAGCCACCTGGAGGCGCGGAGGATAACCAGGTGAGGCCAGGGGCCCGCCTTCGTCCCCACTCCCACCCCCTTCCCACCCGCGGGGGCCGCAGGCTCTCCCGAGGCCTGCCCGGAGCTGGCCTTCAGGATCGTTGGAGCCCAGAAACTTCCCGCCCAACTCCAACCACTGAACCTGTGTTTCGGTTCTAAACCTAAGAGCCAAGTTGGGACCCAGGCCCCAAAAGAAGGGCTGCAAGAAGAGGGCGGGGCTAGGTGGGGAGCCTGGGAAAGGGGTGGGGCCACCCTATGGAATCCGGTGGTTTATGGGACGTGGCAGGCACCTGCGGACTGGAAAGTAGGGGCTGGGGAAGGGAGGGAGGTCAGGCCAGAGATTGATTGAAGGCCAAAGCAATGGGGTAGGGCCTTTCCCCGGGCAGTGGAGACAGACCTGCACCCTCAGCCCCACATGCCCAGATGCCAAGCTGATAGATCCATATGTAATTATTATACCCTGAACCAGGCGTGGAGAGGGCAAGCAGGATTTAGGGGCCAAAGGAACTTAGATACCTGGTGGTAAGGGAAGTGCACTGGATTTAGAGTCCAGTCCTTGCTTTGCCACTTAGCAGGTGAGCTGGGAAAGTTTCTTCACCTCCTAGAGAGAGCCTTAGTTTCTCACCAGTGAAATACTGGAGGAAATAACTCCTAGGAGTTATCATGAGGGTGAAATGAAAGGGTGGCAGAGAGATGTGAATGCACTTGGTAAACTTAAATGCATAACACCTGACCCCTCTGTGTGCTTTTAATATGTATCCAATGGTCAGAATAGGTGAATAAGGTGTCCTGTAATAGGGAAGGTCTCAAGAGAAAAGCCCTAGAAGAGAAGCCTGAAGTCTCAGTGACAGAAATTTCTCAGGCCTTGAAAGCTGGGAGAATGGCTGCCCTAAAATTGGCTCTTTTCCCCTGGCCCTCCTAGAGTCAGCCATTCTATCCAAACACCCACAGGAGAGGGGGGTCCTCCCTGGGGATCAGCTGGAGGAAGAAAAACTTGCACCCCAAACAAGAAGATGGAGTGATGATATCACCTTCTCAAATATCCCACAGACACCCTGGCACACAGGAAGCAACTCCTACACCCACTGCCTTGAACAAAGGTGTCCTTGGGTCAACTTTGAGGAAGGAAGCCTGAGATAAAGAAAGTGGCATTTCCAAAAGGCTCTGTGGTTTCCTTTGTCAACCCCAAGGAGTTCAGCTTAATGAACCATTCAGTGTTTCCAAAATTCAGCCACCGAGCAGCATCTTTCCATTTTTGCCTTGTCTGCTTATTAAGTGTACTATTTTTTACTTAGTTTTCTTTAAATAAATATGCCCTTTTTTAGAGGTCCATATATTTATTTCAAAAGGAACATACTGCCTTACCCTACAGTGAATGGAAAATCAGCTTCTCCTGACATAAATAGAAAGTTCTAGTAAAAGTAAAAATAGCAAAACAAAACTACGATTAAAGTTTAGATGGAGATTCTGTGATCAGCTGGAGGCTCTGAGCCCCAGGCTTGCTTTGTTAAAAAGTGAGATGATTATTTTTAAGACAGCAGCTCTAGTCTGAGACTATCCCCTTGGTGTTCTCAGGACTGCAAGAGAATTGTGAAGGGAGTACTTTTCCTAAGGGACTGGGGAATGGAAGGCTCCTGCTTACCCTCGGGACGGGGCTGGCACACACTGGGTTGGGGCCGGCAGGAGCCTGGCGCTCACGCGCTCTCTCTGGTCTCTGCAGTGCCCGGAAGCGCCCCATCCCCTACTACCGGCCCAGCCCCTCTTCCTCGAGCAGCCTCAGCAGCCCCTCCTCCTGGTACAGCAGCAGCAGCCGGTCCGCCAGCCGCAGCTACTCCCGGAGCCGCAGCCGGAGCCACAGCCGCACGCGCAGCCGGAGTCGGAGCCGGAGCCGGAGCCCGACCCGCACGAGCTGCAGCTCCAGCTCCCGCAGCCCCAGCCTGGGCTCCCGGAGCCGCAGCCGGAGCCAGAGCCGCAGCTACAGCTCAGCAGACAGCTACTCCAGCACCAGGCGCTAAGCAAGGGCCCTCCCTTGAGCCAACTGCCCATTGGGGGCCTCTTTCACTCTGCCAGCCTCCCCCCTCCCTGCCCACCCTGCCTTCTCTTTGGTGACAGACACTGAGGGTTCCTGGACCCTGTCCTTCCTGCTCTCCTGGGGAGGAGGAAAAGAGGGTAGGGGGATCCAGCCTCTATGTTGAGCTGCTAGGAGCCTGCACCAACACCACCCTGGGGCTCAGTTCAGGCCTGGGCAGATGGAGAGAACCATCCTCTGTTGGCACAAAACACCTCAAGGTTTTGCAAGAGGCAATGGGTCCATGACTCAAAAGTTTGGGCCTGGCCAGGAAAATGTAGAGACAGTCCTGCTAAGACACTGCTCACAGGATGCACACAGAAGGCCAGTGGTGATTCATTGCACCTGCCCTCATTCAATCTCATGGCTGCATCCGTATGGACGCCTGTGGGCGTTGGGAGAGATGAAGGGAGACCAGGAGCAGTTCAGGCCTGGGAGAGGGGACCCAGCCTTTCACCTCCCCAAACAGGTCAGAGCAAAGGCTGAAAGGCTATGGGGTCCTATAAAGGGGGACATATGTGAGTAGGGGACATGGACATTTCAGTTGGTAGGAGGTGTCAGGAGACAGGTTCTCTGGTTGTTCTGCTGCTCCCAGTATCTCAGCGTGGTCAGGAAAAGGAGCCTGGTGGGTTCTAGCAATGGAGAGGACACCACACAGCTTACCAGGGAACCTGCATCCTCACTGAGGAAGGACACAGTGAACAGTTGGGACAGCTTGGTCTATAGCCCCACTTCCCAAATTTGCCTCAGCCCTGCTAGCTGGCACCAATTTAATTCCACGGGACCATCTGCTGAACATTCCCAGTGTCATGGCCAGCTGCCAGTCCCCAGCGCCAGCCAGTCTGGCCTTAGCCTCCGGTTGGCGCCCGCCTGCCCCCTCCCCACTGCCTGTACCGCCACGCCCTGGATCCTTCCCAGTGTGGCGGAGCCCTGCCCCCCGCCCCCAGCCTAAGCTGCCCCCTTTGCCTCTCAGGAATTTTGCCAGGATGGGACACCATAGCAACACAGGTTTTGGGGGAAAAGCCCAAATCCAGAGAGTCTGGGAAAGAAGGGCTTGGATGCTCCATAGCTTGGGTTCCTGCTGGCTTCTGAGGTTTCTCGTCAGCTTGGGAAAGCCCCGCATTCATTTCTGCTCCCACCCCACTTCCCGCTGCCCAGGATGGGCAGTGTGGGTAAGCTGATCTCTGGCATAGAAATGCCATCAGCTGCTTCATCCATGGAAGGCTCTGAGAACAGGGGCGTAGGGAGAGGATCCTTAAAATAAACTCTTGGGCATCCCCCTCACCAGCTGACTGGCTTTCCGGAGCCTTAGGGGTGAGTTTCAAGTCTGTGGTAGCAACGGGGCATGGAGGGAGAGAGCAAGGGGACATGGGTCCCAGCTCTGGACACTGGATACTCGGGAAGAAGGGAGCAAGTGTTCCTTACCCTTCATACCCTAGGGAAAAAAAACACTATTCTTTTGGAAGCAGTGACCCCCTGCCAATCTTTCCTATTACATCAGCCTGTGGGGCCAGAAACTGCCCTGCCACCACCCCACAAATCCTTCCTCCACCAGGAGCACAGAGTGAGGCGGCCCCAGGCAGCAGTGCCAGACGTGCTGTGGTGCCCTCTGATCCAGACCTAGACCCCGCCCACCAACACTACTGATGCCAGTGCTGCCACTGCAGGAGGCCGGATGGCAGGTGCTTGGGCCAGGGGCAGGTGCCCTGGGAGGGCATGTACAGCAACTGTAAATAACCCTCTTCCCCCCCCCAGGAACCTGTACTGGACTCCAGTCTCCCCTCACCGAGACAGAGGCTTTGCGAGAGCCACGAAACCTCCTTAGCAGGACAGCAGTGAGGGGCCTGGGAAGCCCCAGTTCCACCTGCCTTCAGCTACCTGTAGGGGACCATTCTACCTGGGGCTCCTAGCAAACCTTTTATTTATTGTATTTATTTATGTTTATTTATTTATTTATGCTATGACTTCCTTATCTCTCTGTTGCCATTAGCAGTATTCAACTATTTATTTATTTATATGGGGAGGTTGGTTGTATGTGTGCGTGTTGGTATGTGTGTTTGTGGTGGGGGGGGACTGGTAAATTATTTTTGTGTATCTCTTTTTTAATTTGTGTCTCTATGGATGGAATTTGAGAGGCTGGTGGTGTGGGTGGGGATGCTGGTCTTTTTCCTGAAGGCGAGACCCACACAGGTCCAGCCCTAAACATCCCAGCATGGGCCTGGAAGACGTCAGGCCCCAGGTTCATTCCTTGGCCCGGTGTCAGCGAGGTTCAGGTCTGCACCCCAGACCGCTGCCCACCAGCATCCTCACTGAGATATGAGAAAGATGAAAATAAGCCAGGAGGCTCATGAGCTAAGGCACAGAATTGACACAGTGGAGTTATGGCTTCTTCAGGCGTTGAAGTCTAAGGTTAGCATGTAACGAAGAGAGAATCACTAGTCAGAGTGCTTTAGAGAGTCCCCCAATGGGAGACAAATTTGCTATCTCTTGGGTACTGATGAGGCTTCAGTTAATACTTATTGAAGTAGCTGCCTTGAGTTTGGGGAGCCGTGGTGGTCGAGATGACTGGTTTAACACTGGGATGGTCCTTGGAGTTGCCAAGGTAAGAGGGAGGCAGGAACAGAGCTGAGGGAAGAGAAAATGCTCATCTTGACCTTACACTCATTCCAGCGCTCCTACCAGTGGGCCAGATTGCTCCCTCGCTTTTCTGAGCATATCTAGTTGGTTTCATGTAAATCACCCATACTTCAGACTCCAGTGTAGCTCACTTCTGCCCCTGCCCTGAGGCTTCCAGACAGCTGGTCCTTCTGCAGCGGATGCGCACTGCCTTGTGAAGAGGCACCCGCCATCCTGGGAGAGGAACAGAGACCCCAAAGCATAAGCCTTTTTCTGTGACCTCTCACTATGCCATCAAGGGAAAGCATAAAGCTATTTCTGAAATTAGGGGGGGAAACGAGGGAAGGAGCAGCCAGAGGTTTCCCCAAGAAGGTCATTTCAGATCCCATACCGGGAGCCAGGATCCAGAGACCTTCACCAGTCCTGCCTCTCTGACTAACTGGCAGCATCTTCTGGCTGCTCTCTGGAGAGGTTCCCACCCTTTTCAAAGTCACTGTTTCCTACCTTGAAATTGCTAACTTGCCTGGTCCAGCCTTGGGTTTGGTGAAACTTTTGCAGCATCCCTGGTTGTTTCCCTAGCAAAATGACCTCACCCTGCCCTAGCCCTCGCCTGGGGAAGGCTTGCAGGAAGGATGTTTAAATGCCTCCCAGGTGGGGGAAATTTCTGTGCCTCCCTCTCACTGGGTATGTTTCCCTACTTTCCTCTACATTTCCTTTTATTTTCCATCCAAAAATGAACGAAAACTCTTGTTGGAGCACTGATAACCTCAAAAATGGGAGGGTGATGTGGCTTTCGATCAAGCAGCCTCAGAAGCCTTCAGCCTTCCTGCTACAGATAACACACAGGATGAGTGAACTTGAGCAGATCACTCCCTTCCTCAGGGTCAGAGTTCCCACATTTGAGAAATACAGGAATTTTTGAGAGGTAATCCAAAAAGTTGACCTGAGGCCAGGGAGGTTCTCCACAGACAACATTCACCAAGCCTTAGAAGGGGAAGAAAAACACTGTCAGACAGGGAGTCTTCAGTCAGGAGGGTAAAACCTAAAAGCAACATGTGAATTCCCTCCAGTTAGTTAAGAAAAGCTACCCAATTCCAAGCCCCCAACCAGGACCATTCTAGTTCCTTGAGGTATGATTGGATTCCTGTCTATTTCTTTCCTTCTTCCAAGGAAAGTCAGTCTTTAGAAGCGAAACTACAATGTTTGAAAGACACAGGGTCTCATCTCAGTAAGTCCACATCACTGCACTTCTTCAGAACTAATCGCTTTCCCAGAAGGCTCTGCTTGACAAGTCAAGATGGGGGTGCTCCCAAAGGCGCAAAGGCACATTTTATTTTTCTCAAGTCTGACTTCCAACTTTTCTTCTGCTGCATTCTCCTCCACAAATACTCAAAATAGTCTCATGTGCCTGGGTCTTGCCTTGATTTCCCCTGTCACTAAATAGAAACTTTTGTCTCATTCAAAACCAAACCAAAGCAGAACTTCTCAAAACACGCCCCCACCTCCATCGGCCAACTGAGTCCAGCCGAGGAACATACGTTAGCTACAGCGTGTCATCCAGCAGTGCTTTACTGCAGCCCCTTCCTTCTCATTTTGCACCCATGAGCCAGTGGGTACTGATAGAGGTGTCCTTCCCCTCTGTCTGTGGCTGTTGTCTTGGGTTTTTTGTTTATCGAGGGCTTTTTTGAGTTGTTGTTTGCATTGTAAATACCATGATGGGAGCCCTACATCAGAACATGGCTTATTTAATAATTTATTTCCTATTTATGGAGTGATATTGGGAGAGGCAAGGGACCCCCCTCTTCCCCTAAATGGTTACTGGCAATTGGCCCATCTCGCGGCACCGGGTGTGGCCGTCTACACTGTCACAAGTAATGAGCGCCAGAATTGCCCCGCAAATTGGAATTGGCAGAAATGGAGGCTTCAGTCATACAAACTAAGCTCGAATGGAACTAAAACACTGATTATCTCCGGGAAAACCTCATTTTGATGGAAATTAATTGAAGAATAAAATGCCTGTACATGAACCAACTTCTATTAAAAAGTCACAACTCCTTGAAAAGAAAGAAAGAAAGGGAAAGAATATCACACTCCCTTTTCTCTGGCAGAGAAAACCTACGCCTCATCTTCCAACAAGCTGAGCCAAAGAGACCGGAATAACATTCCTTTGTGGTTCTCTTGCCTGTGTGTGTGTGTCCGGATGAAACAGTGGGTCCCAGGCCTCGGTTTTATCATCTGTAAAATGGAATTTGGCCCAAGTGCTCTTGGCAGGGTGGTGGGAGAGGGTTCTGATGCTGCGAGCTCCAAGCTGTCAGATACATGGTCCCTGTGTCTCTGACTGTAGGTGGAAGGGTGTCTCCTAAGAAGGGACTAGAAAAGCAGGGCACGACGTTCGTTTGTTTGCAGGGTGAGGCCGCAGTAGCTGAGTCTTGCAGTCAGATGCAGGAGGCTTCCAGGTGCTGTCACCTGATAACTCCTGTGGCCTGGGTTAAAGCCCTCTAGGTTAGCTTGAACTTGTCTCCAAGCCCAGCTGTCCAGAGTCATCAAAGTGGAGACCAGGATGGCATCAGGCCATGTTTTGTACAATTGTACAGTAAGTCAGATGACCATTTTTCAGATGAGAAACTGAGGCCCTGGAAGAGGGAACTGCCATGCCTGAACTCCCTTGAGCTCAGATCTGCCTGACTCCATGCCCCATACTCTGTTGGTAGCTTTGCCAGGCCTGTGCTGTGAGGACTTCTCTTTGTGCTATATTTTTTCTCTCCCAATCCTCAGCTGTTTCCTCTAGCAGTCACAGGCCAAGGACCTAGCAGAATCAACCACATCAACTAGGGGTCTTGGTGTACCCCAAGGCCATTTATCCACATCAGGGAGGGCTGGAATTCCCATCTGGAAAACCCCAAATCAGGGGACCCACTACCAGCCCAGCTTGGCCTGAGTGACCAGCCCCTGCCCGGAACACCCACATCAGAGGGGGGAAGCGCGTCTGTGTGTCCTCCACCATCCTGGGGCTCTGTCCTCTACCCAGTGACACGGCCACCATGGCTTGTTTGATTTCTGGTGTTCACAGCTAAGCATAATCTTCCCAGGGTTTCTGGTTTTTCAGTCTGTATGAAACATGTCTCTGTTCTAATAAAAGGTCCCATGGTATGGTGTTCTCATACGTAGCCGAGCATCTTCTGTCTATATGCGGTGCCCAGAAGCAGAGGTAGAGAGGGAAGGGCAGTGGGGAGACAGAGACACAATACCTAATTATCTCCTGCTGCGTGCCACACACTGGGATGTTGCTCAGCTCATTTCTCATATCTTCAAAAGAAACCTGTAGGCATTTGGTTTTACACGTACATCAGTAGCATCTACGGAATGCCTTAGGAAACCTTTTCCTAAGCATTGTGCATGCATTGTCTTAGCCTTCACCATAAACCTGTGAGGTAAGCATTAGACTCTTGTTCCCACGAAGAAGGAAATTGAGGCCCTGAAAAGCAGTCACCTGCGCAAGGCCACGGAGTTGATGACAGGATCCAGGCAGGCTGACTCCAGACCCCAGCCTAGTCACTGTTCTGCTCCGCAGCACTTCAGGTTATGCAAAGAGTAACCAGTTCTCTTTGGTGGAGTTGTTTTTCTCTGAAGCCCTGATGGCCAGGAGGAAATTCAGTGTAGGACACAGATGTGGGAGTCCAAAATCCTGGGTTCTAATCCTGGCCCTGTCATTACTAGCTATGGGGCATGGAGCAAGGATAGTACCTTGCCAGGGCTTGGTTTATTCATCTGTAAAATGGGGACAGCAAGAGCTACTCCCTGGGCTGCTGTGGGAACTAACGGTTGGTGGCTCTAAAAAATACAAAATTCAGTGCGTGGGAAGCACTCAATGAATGTCAGTGAGCTTGGTTACTGTTTCCTAAACTGAGACTGAACTATGGAAGCCAGGCCCATGAAGAGAGCCCAAAGTAGCTAGTTTGGAACAGTGTTCCTGCAAGGCCTTGCAGAAGCCTCTGGAAATATTCCCAGTGTCCAACTTCAAAGTTTCTTGTCCTAGAGAACGGGGGCTGAGAACACCCACAGGGCAAGCAGGTGAGGGGAGTGGAGAGGGTTAGGGCCATTGGCAGTGGGGGGCCCATATCCACAGCCAGGCCCAGGTTCAGATAGCTCAGCTCAGAATTGCCAGATCTCCCAATTGCTCAAGAGAACCTGCATTTTTAGATAAATCTCATTTTTAAAATGTCCCTAACTTCTTTTTTCAAACACTATGTTGTCAAAAAGGTTATATACACACACACACAGATAATATCTATCATCCCCGGAGCTAGTCAGGAGGAGGTACCTCAGGCTCACCCTCACTCCCACCCCAGGGGTACTGGGAGGTTGTTTCAGCCCCTTATCTACACCTGAGTAGGTTATCAGGGGAGAAAGAGCAAACAAAATGGGTTACCCCTGTTGCCTCCCCATGCATCCTGCTCCTCTGGGAATCTCCCAGATCATTTGGATGGGTGACCGTCTTGGAGGAATCCGCTGCTACCCACTGCCACGGTCGCCACGCACTGATTTCCTTCTTCCCAAACAGGTTTGGGCAAGGCAACCACTGGTGTCCTCTTCTGCGGCTTCATCACTAAACAATACTAATAATAATACTGTGATAATCATAATTACCATTTATGGATCAATGATCATGTGCCAAGCTCTTTCATGCATTAACTCCTTTCATTTTTCTAAAAACCCCATTTAGCCCCATTTGACAGGGGAGAGAGTTGAAGCTCCCAGAGGGAGGACCACATAGGTAGTGGGTATTTGAACTAGGTCTGTGCGCTCCAGGGCCATTCTGCTGCACCCTTTGCCTCCGGAGGTGCGCATCCCATCAGCTCGGAGCTAGCCCTCCATACGGGCCCCTGATGACTTTTGCTGGAAAACATAGCTGTTAAGAGGTGGTCTCTGTGATGCCAGCCACCCCTCAGCGACTCGTGGGGGAGACCGTGCGCTTCTTTCTCCTGCTCAGGCTCCCAGTCATAGGAATGGGCGTGTCCTTCCAGCCGTCGTCCAGGCAGGCGCCCCGCCCCCTCCCGGACTGGGGGGGAGGGGCTGGGAGGGGTTGGTGGGGGCAGACCTGCTTCTGGAGGGAGGGAGTCAGACTGGCAGCTGCCCACGGATGGAGTGGAGACAGCGTGCCCTGACACCCTTACCTTCTGCGGCCCCAGGGACACGCACACCATGTCCACCGGGTGAAGGAAATCTGACAGGCAGGGAGGAGGGGAAATACCAGAAAATGAAACCTCTCAAGAGGCAGGGGCCAAGAATTCTGCCCCTGGTTTGCTGGGTGACACAATGAAGTCAAGCCCCTCTCTGGGTCATAGCTACTCCACCTGTTAACAGAGGCTGGCTTAAGCCAGTGGTTCTTAACCCTGGCTATACCTTAGAACCAACTACGATCTACAGTCCCACACACTTCATATACATCACTGTAAGTCACATTATTTCATCCTCATGCCATCCCTAAGAGGTAGGTTCTATTTTTATGCTGATTTTACCGATGCAGAAACTGTGGCACAGACTGGTTGTCCCGTGGCGTGACTGGACGCTAAGCTGAGGGAGAGTCCAAAGTGACGCCGAAAGCAGCCTCGGAGCTTCAAGGGATGCATCACAGAAAAGCTGACCTCTAGGCTGTTGCCCAGGAAATGAGCAGAGTGGGCCAGGCCAGGAGAGGGGGCTAAGGAAAGAGGGGCGGGGAAGGGATCCCAGGCAGGGAAGAGCGCATGTGTGCAAACCAGAGAAGTGACTTCCACCTGCCTAGAGTAGGCTCCCCACCCCCTGCCTACCCTGGGCATTCCTTCCATAGCGCTTCATAGTTTCTGTCATTGGTTTGTTTACTGGTTTGCTTGTTTACTGCCATCTCCAAGAAGATGGAAGACTTGTCTGCCTCATCCAGCCCCCAGCTGCAGATGCCCAGCAGGGAGTGCCACACCAGGTCCTGGGGGCTGTCAAGCAATTGCATCTGCCGGCAGGTCCCATCTCTGCTCCCCTCCAGTTCCCATGCATTTGCTGAGCTGGTTAATTTTACTTTATGTGGAGGGTGGGGAGTGTGACTGGGGGGCTGTGGCAAAGCAGGGTCATGTCCCACACAAGGACTCTGAGGCTCTCTCTAGGGGCTGTGTTTCTTCCTGGGAGTAAGAGAAGGCAGTATAGGGCATGAAGCAAAGAGATGTGAGCACCTGCTATTCATCCAGTACTGGGCAAGGCCCTGGTCTACATTCCCTGGGATTAGATTGATGTGCTTTGTAAGAGCAATGGCTGGGACTGAGGACTTGGGAGTCAGAAAGACCTGGGTTTTAACCTGACTGCTACTTCCTAGCTGTGTGTCTATGTATGTATAAGTGGCTGAACCTCTCTGAGCCTCAGGTTCCTCATCTTTCCAATGGGGATAGTAGAAGTATCAATCTGATCAGAGTGCCATGAACTTCAGTAGAGGTGATGCATGTACAGCACTTAGTCCAGTGCCTGACTGGGTTAGAATCACTGTTAGAAACTAAAAAAGTTGAGGTAGGCTCAGTTGCCTAGATAAGCTCATGACAAGTTTTTGGAAGGTTTCAGGCCACCTTGGCAAAGATCAGCTTCTCTTCTCACCTTTCTTCACCTTGAACACCAAATCCTCAAAGAGAGTCACTCCGAGCTGCCGCCCCCTCCAAATATCTCCTCCACTCAAAACAATCTAGAATCTCCTAAGAACTTGGTGATCTCTGCATGTCTATCCCCACCCTGACATTTCATCCACATTTTCAACTAGAGATCAATCCACTAGTGGAGGGACATGGGGCAGTGTTCAGGCATTTTCACCTGGAACAATATGGGTTTCCACTCCCACTGAATCCTGGCTCTAAACCATTCCATAGCTATGGCCAACCTGTGGCCAAATGACTAATGGCAGGATTTCTTTTTGTCTTTTTTTTTCTGTTGCCAGTGAAACTAGCCAAATGCTTTCTCAAGGTGTAACACTGGGTCCCTTTGATGGTCTATTTTAACTAAAACCAAGATAAACAACACCAACCTCATCAACTATACTCATACTGCCAAATGGAAAAGGGTTGACATAGGTGTACACGCACACCCATACACACACGAGATTTTTTTCCTTCCATCTCCCTCACTTTGAACCCTATTTCTAGATGAAGTAATCTTAACCTAAGAGAATCCATGACTTCCCATGCTTCCCAGAGTCTGTGAATCATCTGAAATCCCAAAGTTTTAAATATGAAAACGTCAGCATTTTGGTGCAGAAAAGTACGTTGCCCACCAGTTTTCCAAAGGAACCCAACTTGAAGCTATTAGGATGCTTCCACAAAATCTGTGTTTTATTCTCTCAGGAGAAAGCAAAGTATCTAGTTGCCTCCCAATAAATACTGCCCTTCATCCATTGTAATACCCACCCACCCCAGTTTCTAATTAGGTTCATAGTCACCCAGAATAAAGTCTGCATTTCCCAGCATTTCTTTGCAGCTAAGTGTGACCATGTAATGAACTTTGGCCAATGAGATATAGAAAGAATTTTTGCATGGTAACTTCCAGAAATTTCTATGAAAGAGCATTTGTCTCACTCTCCCCCTCCCCCATCCTATCCTTCTTGTTGGCCGGAATATGGACACCATGGTTGGAATTCAAGTGGCTCCTGGTCCATGAGGTGGCTTTGGGATTGGAGCCTGTATAAAGGGAGCAATAAAACGAAAGGGTCTCAGTCCCCAAGGACTTTGTAGAGCAGCGGCACCCTGCCAGCAACAAACAGGATGTCTCTGGACTTGAATATCAGGGAGAAATCAACTTTTCTTTCCTTTGAGCAGCCCCCAGAAAGAGGCATTCTTGTTCCTCTCTGTCCTCGTTCATGGTTATACCTTCCCCCAGCCCTTCTAGCCTCCCTCCCCCTCCCAGCACAAACCCTGAGAACCTTCTTGGGCCAAACCTTTCTAAGAGCTGTCATTCCCAGACCTAAAAAAAAAACTGTTTCCAAAGCAGTTGCCTGGTGTCATGGTCACCAACTGGTCAAACCTGCTTCTGCTGTGACCGCAGTGATATCTGGAAAAGGGGCCCTCGAGATTACAGACTTTCCAGCTGTCCCTCCCCCAAAGATCTCAGGGCCATCCCCTGCCTAAGCGCCTTGTAATGGTACTCCACGCAAATGTCCCA